TGTTTGTTATTGTGTCATGAGAGTTCTTGGGCTGGAGAGAAGGAGACATAGCTGGGCAAACTCATCAAGGTTTTGCCCATGAACCTCATTCTAAATGATTGATTGTGTAACCAAAGTAACCAGGTAAGTTTGCCAAGTGCTTGGTAATGTTAATGTTAAGTGTGAAGTAACATGATTCATGTTACTTAAATTGTCTGAAACCTTGAATCAAGGAATTATTTCTTTGTTGTTAAGAATTAGTGGGTGTGTCCTGCACTCTGCTATTCACTGTGCAGTAACTAGTTTTGAACTGACACTAGTGTGCGCATGTATGTGTGCTCTATTTGGGTTCACACAATAGCCCCCCTAATTCTCTCATTCTCCTTTTATATTTTGCCATGCAACTCGTAGCATTGAATCTCGTCAGAACTGATTCACCGGGAGGTCATCAAGCTCTAAGCTTTAATCCTTTTCTCTCTCCAAGAAGTTGCCTGATCTCCTTGAGTGTTCCTGACATCTTCAGTTTCGTTTCAGATTTCCAGCATCCGTAAAAGTCTGCTTGTGTAACTCTGGGAACCAAGACAAAACTTAATTGAAGTGTAATCAGAGGGAGGATAGGAGCTGATTAACTGAAAAGCTGTAACAACGGAAGACAGAAAAAGGCAATGAAGGAGAGAAATGAAAGATATGTGCGAAAGCTATAGAACGTGCAAACGGTTTACAGCAGGACAGTAAATGAGAGGGAAACATGAAGAATCTGGCAAAGAAGCCTGGCTCTGGTGGGAGAAAAAGGCATCCCAAACACTGATTAACCACCACCTCTGTTCCTGGAAAACGCTGGTACCCCCATAGCATCTTACTGCCACCAGCTTTGAGAGAAAGTACGGACTATGGTTAAGACCTGAAGTTGTTCAAAATCAAGGTTAATCCCAAACAGCTGGAAAGTTCCTGGTAGAAATATGAAGTGCTGCTCCCAGAGACTGTCAAGATTTCATTGAAGAGAAAAGGAGCCAGGAGTGGGACAGACCATCAAAGCAGCGAGTGACCAGAAGCTCAGTGTCACAGTTGAGGTTAGAATGGAAGCAATTACCCAGTTCCACAATGTAGAAGGGGTGGCATTCATATGAGCAGGGCATAATAAATCATCTTCTCATCCAGCAGAAGTGTTTGTAGCCTCTGTATAGTTGTACATGAGGCAGTGAAAGGACAAATGTGCATGCACAGGAATGTACTAGGGAAAAGGTGGGAGAAGGTAATCCATGTGTGGACCAGGCCATTAAGGAGTGACCAGTCTGAAATCACTGAAAGGGGATGTATTTGGTGATGGGATCAGGATGGATTTGGTGAAGGGTGATCCATTGTCTATGGAGTCCCTAACAGATCCGCGAGGGAAAAGAATCCATAAAGGCTGAAGCGTAAGCAATGGAGGGACACGATTGAAGACTGTGCCTATCATGGAAATAAAACACACAGAGAACATTTCAGAAGCTCTGGTGTGGACAATTACATCATCACAGCAGATGCGAAGGAAATGTCAAAACTGGGGAAGGAAAGTGGAATCTCCTCGGGAACCAGGCTGGGAAGACGTATAACCACAGCAAATATAGGAGTTGATGGCATTTTGATATCAATATGCAGACCCTGTTCTGAGATGGTTGGAGAAGGTCAGGAAAGGAATGGAACAGTTAGAAGTGCTCTCCTTAGAAGCAGAATGTAATGAAATTCTCCAGTTCAGGGTAAGGACGGGGAAGAGCACCAATGCAGTTTTCTCAGTGCTAACAGAGGTCAGAGAGAACACATGAATAAAACTGGAACAAAGGATGTTTAACGTGTCCTACAGAAGACAGGCATTGCTTGTACCTCTGAGAGTTCTCGAAAACAATGCCTTTGGAGAAAACGATTGGAGCTGAAGATAGGGTTATTGAATGTGAGAACAAATTCAGCTGGGTGCTTGGACTGTGTTCAAGGAGAAGGTGGAGAGACCTCAGGTTTCCCTGGATGGTTGTTGGATGTGTAAAGGAGTGAATGACCGACTGTCATGAGGTGGTTCTTCCTTCCTTCCTCTTTGCCCACTGGAGCTGGCTTTACGGAAACACACTCGGGAGGTGTTCTCACCACATAGCAGCTTGTAGTTATGGCAGAGTGACCTAGATCATACTGGCCTATTAAATGCCTGTTGCTGGTGAAAAAGGTACTTAATTTTTCAGATCTCTCACTGGTATTCTCAAAGTGCTTCAATGATGAAGTTGAAAGTGAGCAGAATGTAATGAGTTTGTAACCTTAGTGTGCATTTTTCATGCATCCTCACAGCCTACATTTCAAACTCCTGAGTTAATTAGATCAAATCCAGCCAATATTGTTTTGCACTAAAATGAATCATCACATACTGGGACCAACTAATGATGTACATGTATTTAACCTTATGAAAGTCTTGATTCATTACAAGATGTGATAATTACTGCCTTCTACATGTCCGTTCTTTGTGTCTGATCCAAAGCACTGAAGATTGTAAGGTTGCCCAGCTTTAGCAACAGTGGGGCTGGATCTTTGCTATCTATCTGATAGCGATCAGAAGGAGGAATCCTGCATTGGGGTTCTACTTCAGTCAATCCCACAAAAAACTCCATTCAGTCAATGAGACTATGGTGTGTTAACCATATGCTGGCTAATGAGGCCAACATGTTGCATGCAGCAAGATCCCTCAAATAGCAATGCTTGCTGATCTCCTCTTTGCTGCCAGTGGTTAAAGGTGTGTAATGGTGGTGGTAAAGGAGGGGGTGGAATTGTTGGCCAGTACAGTTGAAGAATTCCCCTGATCATCATAATGACATGGCATCTTTAACATCAATTTCACCCCGTAGAGCAAGATGTGCATCCGGCTGTGTGTGCACACAGAAATCAAGGTAACCTTCTAATTTGAGTTTTTATTTCAATGTACAGGCCCTTTGCATTCATTTTGCAAGACCCTATCTCATCGTAATAACTGAAAACGGCAGACTCACGGCTGCTGCACAGGAACTTTTGGGGATGCACACAGTTGTAAAGCTTCAAGGGGATATTGGTACCACACGCACAATTAAGCATCAGGATAATAATGAGAATCAGAATTAATAATCAAAAAGTTGTCAGTCACACTCCGATCTAAAAAGTGAATGTTTGTATTTGAACAGCCTGAAAATCTCTGGCGGATAATTCTTTGATATTGTCTGTCCTGAAGATGGAAGACACCCATGTCTCTTGGACAGAATGTCCCACTCTGCCTTGTGATGATAGATGTGTGTTTTCTTATCCTCGTTATTTGTAGCCCAATTAAGTAATTGCAGCAACAGGTTTATTTGTTTCAAATAATAAGGTTATTGATCCTTGCACACTTAGCCCAAATCAAACGTGATATCTTACATGCGCAAGGATTATATGCAGGTGAAGGGAATGTACTGTTTCAGATTATAAATATCTTGCATTGGCCCTCTTGTCGTGCAGTAGTAGTGTCCCCATCCCTGGACCTGGAGACCCAGGTTCAAACTTCAGAGTTGTGTAATAACATCTCTGAACTGGTTGATTAGAAAAATAGGTTAAATTTAAAAGGTATAATTATCTTGCATTGGCCATCCTGTGGTGCAGTGGTAGTATCCCTACCTATGGACCAGGTGGCTCAGGTTCAAGTCCCACCTCCTCGAAGTGGGTAAAGATATCTCTGAACAGTTTGATTAGGAAAATATGTCAATAAAGAAATGATAATTATTTTGCCTTGATCCTCTTGTGGCACAGTGGTAGTGTCCCTACCCCTGGACTGAGAGGCCCGGGTTCAGGTCCCACCTGCTCCAGACGTGTGTAGTAACATCTCTGAGCAGGTTAATTAGGAAATAAGTTAAATTAGAAAAAAAAAGTTACAACTATCTTGCATTGCTACTGTGCCACAAGAGGGCCAATGTCCCTACCCCTGGACTGAGGGGCCCGGGTTCAAGAGTCACCTGCTTCAGAGATGAGTAATAACATCTCTGAACTGGTTGATTAGAAAATATCTTGTAATTATCTTGCAATGGCAGTGCCCCTACCACTGGACCAGGAAGCCTGGGTTTAAGTTTCACCTGCCCCACGGTGATGTAATAAAATATCTGAGCAGGTTGATTTTTAAAAAAAAACTACAATTATCTTGTGGTGGTAGCATCTCCACCTATGGACCAGGCGGCCTGAGTTCATCCACACCCACTCCAGAGATGTGTTATAATATCTCTGAACAGGTTGGTTAGAAAATATTTATAATGATCTCATCCTCTGAATTACAGTCTCCAGTTTCCCATGACAGGCCTGTAGTTCCTTGGATGGTTTTGATGCCTTAAAGTTGAAGTATGGGCCTTGAAAGGGAAAGGTTCACAGGCTGTGAGATTATCTGTTGTCAAATTTCCAGGATGTTTTCTCAGGTGAACTTAAGGTTGGAACGATTTTTGGAAGTGGGGGAGGGTGTTTGGGGTAAATCCTCCTTTCTGTTGTATTCAACAGTTTGCAAGATATTGGTGTTAATGTCCTTGGCTGCTTGCTGACGCACAGCTAATCTGGACTCATTCGCTTCCGGTGGATCTAGCTTTGAGCTGTATCGTTGAGCAGATTGAGACAACATGGCTGCTCCATTGTGTCACTTCTCTACAAATACAAAATCTTTTCCAAATAAAAGGTTTGTGATCATGTCTTTTGAGACTTTGAGACATTCAGAGATTTGAATTCCTCAAAACGTAAACATGTCCCATTCAATGTATTGTACTTACTTGATTGTTCAATGATTCACTTCAGTGTGGAATGTTCTTTTATTCCCTTTTGTGGGATTGTCGATTGAATCCATAAAAGAGGTCAGGTGCCCTCGGGCAGCCATATTTTCCAGCTTTTCTGTCCACTTTTAGGGTTTGAAGTTCGCAATAGAATATATGCCAGCCAGGGCATGACGCAGGCATCTCCCAGTTTTTGATGAGATGTTCACCAAGGATATTTTTGTTGAGGTTAAAAACTCTCGCTCCGTTTATCCCTAGTTTTAATACACGAGAAGGTGGAAAACAAGAGCCTAAGTAACAAGACTCTGAAAATCACAGACTTCGGCCTGGCACGAGAGTGGCACAAAACAACCAAAATGAGTGCTGCAGGGACCTATGCCTGGATGGCTCCAGAAGTCATCCGATCCTCCATGTTCTCCAAGAGCAGCGACATCTGGAGGTATGAGTTTGTTGGTCAGCCTTGTTCCTTAAATCCTTTTTCCTGACCGTATCCTCTGCATTGAAAAGAAAAAATAGGGGGCAGTATGATTTCTTTGGCTAAGTATAATGATGTGGGAATGTACAGTACGGAGAAGTTGTGAATGTCTTAATTCATATTAGTCTGAGGGAAGGAAGAGTGAGGGTGAAAGCTAGCTGGCTGGTTACTGAATGGCATGTTATCCAGCTCTTACAAACCAGGGTGAGCCCTGGGAAGAACATGTGAAAGGGATTAAAACCTTTGGTAGTTCATGATTTCGAAACGTTAATTACATGAGACATTGATGTGGGGTTACAAAGTTGCCATTGCAATCCCTTAGACCAAAGTGTCTATGACTTTGCATGTATGCCATTTTTGAAAAAGTGCTGCCATGCACAGAGATGAGGAGTTGCACGAAGTTAACTAATGAGTGGTTCTTTGTCAACTTCTGTTTCTTTGTTTTCTCGCCCCCTGTCTGTCGTCTTCACCTCCCCGTCCCACGTCATTCAGGGTGAGGTTGTCAGAGAGGACATGACCAGTGGTAGGCATGGGGGTGCAGTCAAACAGGATGAGGCATGTGAGGCATTTCAACTTCCAAACTTCCCTGTGTCTGTCAGACAGGAAGACCAAAAGGTCATTCCCAGATCGCGGGCTCAAGAAATTATGCTATTAAGACACAAACTGCTTTCCTGCTCACTTATATTCCCCCTGCCACCCCAGTCTTTGTGCACGTATAGGTTTTGAAAATGTTTATTTTAGCAGTGGTTGTCCAGACACACAAGGCTCAATTGCAATCGACAGCTCTGGATACTTTCCAAACATAAAGCTCAGTGTTTATAGAGTCCAGTGCAAGTATGAAGGATGTGGTTCTTTGTAAGGCAAGAAGCTATATCAAAAAGTAAACATGAGTGAGGCGGATGTATTTGTCCATTTAAAGAAAGGTACGTCACTCAATCCTCTTGCTAAGTTCTTCAATGTCCCTCACTCTCATGTTTATACCCAACGCATCCTTTGCAGATTTATAGATTCATACAGCACAGAAAAGGCCCTTTGGCCCATCAAGTCTGCACTGACATAGCTACTACTAAAAGTGTGCTAATCCCAATTTCCTACACTTGTCTCATATGCTTGAACATTATGATATTTGAAGCGCTCATCCAGATATATTTTTTAAAGGTTGTAAGATTTCCAGCCTCCACTCTCTTCCCAGGCAGTACATCCCAGATTCCCACCACCCCCTGGGTTGAAAGTTTTTTTTTCCCCAAATCCCCTTTGAATCTCCTGCCCCTTACCCTAAAACTATGCCCTCTTGTGATTGATTCTCAGCCAAGGGAAACAGCTGCTTTCTCTTCGCCCTGTCTGTACCCCTCATAATCTTATACACCTCAATCTTGTAACACTCAGTCTTCTCTGCTTTAAAGAAAACAAACCAAGCCTATCTAGCCACTGCTTATAACTCAGTCTCTCTATCCCAGGCAATGTTCTGGTTAACCTCCTTTGTACGCCCTCTCGTGCTATCACATCCTTCCTGTAGTGAGGCAACCAGAACTGCGCACAGCACTCCAGTTGTGGCCTGTCCAAAAATAGCTGAACTCACTGTGATTTGCTTACTTTGCTGGTTTGTTCTATGATTGGATCATTCTTTGTGTGAAGAATACTTGCCCTGAGCTTGAGGCTTTTTTGAATCCCTGCCCTATCCTCAAAGCAGAGCTAGGAATTCAGCTGCCTGTATCATTGACTATCTTGTATAGGTCTAATAATGTTTTTGTTTTAAAGACGAAGAACCAACACTCTTCAGGTTTGAAACTAATTATCCCTGACTCGGGAACTTGGCTGTTCTGTTTTTGAAAAAAGAAAAATCACAGACAGAACAACTTTTGTATGGGAACTGTTCATTTTCTTGTCTGATGGGCAGACCCTTGCACCACTCCCGAGAGCGGGAAGCCAGGCAGGTGGGAGAACGTTATTGAGTGAGAGGTCAAAGATCAGGGGGTATGAACTTAACTTGCAGTTAAGTTCTCAGAACTTGCACAATGAATCAAGCTCACTGACAGCAGGATGTGGGAAACACTTCTCCTTGCTTTTGCATTTCGTGTGTGCTTGTTAAATGGCTGGCTCACCAGAATTAACTTTCCCCTTTCCAGTTAAGTTCTCTGCGAGCGGGCAGGATCCTGGCATATAAGAAGCATCCAATGGGTGACATGCTGTACCTGCTTGACTTTGGAGCGAGTTGTCGTCTCTTTGAGGAAAGATTGTCTGTGCCTTGCTGTGGTTGAGATCAGACCACAGTTGTCTACAATGCACAGGCCATGAAGGATGATTGAGTAGGGAGAGAGGGGAGTGGAGGAGTAGAGAAAGCTGGAGTGTCGCAGGAAATGGTGGGTAACCAAGGATGGCCATCTGACCAAAACAAGGTAGTGGACTGGTCTAGGAAAGGAAGCGGACTGACTGGGTAACAGCCAGAATGTTTACTACAGGCATCCAGACCGGGAACCGGTGTGTTGGCTTGCAGCAAGTAAATGCCTGACGCTTTAACTATGGAGGCTTTGACCCCCTTCATGGCAACAGTGGGGCATCGATTTCCTGCTGACCTCAGCCCAGCACTTGCCATGTTGCGTGTCTGAGAAGCTGGGAGCCATGTAATCATGTGAGAAAGACAGCCCCTACCTCCCACTCCAAGTGTCTCTCAATTCCACATGTCGTTGAACTTTGACTGCAAAATGGGAGTTTTCACCCCGTTTGTGGCCACATTCAGGAAAGATATAGTCAGTCTAGCAATCAACCTCGAATTCTAGATCTTTTGTATTACGTTTTGTGAGTTTTATGCGATTGCGATTTTTTTTTTTCACTAACTGAGCACCTTCTGCTTTTTCCTCAGCTATGGTGTGTTGCTGTGGGAACTTCTGACTGGGGAGGTTCCATTCAGGGGGATTGATGGACTGGCTGTGGCCTATGGGGTGGCTATGAACAAATTGGCCCTTCCAATTCCTTCAACCTGCCCAGAACTTTTCAGCAAACTGATGGAAGGTAAGGTGTCCACCTTAACTGGACCAGAAATGTCCTCTGTCATCCACACAACAATTCAAATGGAAAGCTAAAACAAAGGATGAGATGAGTTCATGTTTCCAACATCTTATTTCTTTATCCAAGACCTGCTGTAGGAGTTGAAGCCTTTTTTTGATTTAACATGTTTTCTTCAATATTGTGCTTCATTTTCCTTGCTGTTTAAAGACTGGTTTAGAAAATTGTCCTGGTAGAGATACTCCATTGTACAAAATATCCTAATTCCCTTCGTTATCCACCAAGTAGCTTCTTTTAAATATTTCCACTTTACATTGATATGAACTGGTGATGTAGCAATGCCCAATATCTTAGTTTTGAAAATGTTGCACAACTACATTGCGGAGGCTTTGCTAAACAATAAAAATGTTGTCCTTGTATTGTAACCTCATCCTCAGCAAGGAGACCAGTAGTACAAAATGGTAGAAGAATATGCCATACATGCCTGGAATGGGCACCGGAAGACATTACGGCATCTGAGTAATCCTGAACGGTTGAGAAAATACATTGTGGTTTACAAGGAATAGGTATTTCACTGAAAATTAAAGCTCCAGGGAAAGAGTGATCCAGTGTGGCTACAAAATAGGTTCAGGGTAATATTGGATTAAAAGAAAAGATTCATAATATTATCAAGAAGAGCGGTAAACTTGAGGATTGGAAGACTTTTGATAACCAGCAAAAGGTGACCCAAAGTTGAAAGAGGGAGTAACTAGAATATGTGAGTAAACTGGGAAGAAATATTAAAAAAAAAATTGGAAAACTTTAGACAAGTCCGTAAAATGGAAGAGACTAGTGAAAAGAAACTTGGGTCCCCTGGAGAGTGAACAAAGAACGAAGAACAGAACAAGACAGCACAGGAACAGGCTTTTGAGCCCACTAAGACTGCACTGACACATGATGCTTTTCTAAACTAATAAGCTGTTGCCTGTACACAGTCCGTATCTCTCTGCTCCCTGCCTATTGATTTATCTGTCAAGATGCCTCTTAAAAGTTGCTATTGTATCCGCCTCCAGCACCACCTCTGGCTGCACATTCCACCATCTGTGTAAAAACAAAACCTACCTCTCTCATCCCCTTTAAACTTGCTCTCCTTCACCTTAGACTGTAGTAATTGAAATTTTTACCCTGGGATAAAGACTCTAACTATCCATGCTATCCCTGCCTCTCATAAATTTGTAATCTTCTGTCAGGCCGTCCCTTCTATTTTGACATTCAAGTAAAAACAGACCAAGTTTATCCAATCTCTCTTCCTAGCTAATACACTCCAAACCAGGCAGTATTCTGGTAAAATAACCATGGATGCTGTAAATCAGAAACAAAAATAGAGATTGCTGGAAAAGATCAGCAGGTCTGGCAGCATCTGTGGAGAGAAATCTGAGTTAACATTTTGGATCAATTGACATGACTTCTAAGGAAGGGTCACTTGACCCGAAACGTTAACTCTGATTTCTTTCCACACAGAATGCATCCACTGATTCTCCTTTGTTTACACTGTTAATTACATTTAATTACATTTGTGACATATCACACAAATAGCAGGTTCTGACTCTGCTTAATTATCTTATTATTTTCCAATTGTACTGATGCCACTTCCTTAACAATGCTGCCAGACCTGCTGAGCTTTTCCAGCAATCTCTACTTTTATAACGTCCTGGTAAACTGTTTCACCGAAGCCTCCTTCTTGTACTGTAGTGACCAGAACTGTACACAATACTCCAAATGTGGCCTAACTAAAGTTCTATACAGCGGCAACATGACTTGACAATTTCTATCTGTCTTTGTCCTGCTGTATCCTCTGGCAATCCTCCTTGCTATCTGCAGCCTCCTAAATCTTTGTGTCATCTGTAAACTTAGGTCACCTACATTGTCCACCAATTACAAACAACAGGGGTCTCAGCACTGATCCCCTGCTGAACAACAGTGGTGACAGATCTCTAGTCAGAAAAACACCCTTTCACCAATACTCTCTGTCTTCTATGACTGACCCAGTTCTGTATCCATCTTACTTGCTCATTTCAGATCCCATGTGACCTTACCTTTTGTATCAGCCTGTTCTGAGTGACCGTGTCAAAGCCCTTGCTGAAGTCCATTAGACAACATCCACTGCTCTGCCCTCAATCACTTTTGTCACTTCCTCAAAAAACTGAAGCAAGTTTGTGAGACATGAGCTTCCCTACACAAAGCCATGCTGCCTATCTCTAATAAGTCCATAGTTTTCCAAATGTGAGTGAATCCTATCCCTAACAATCTTCTCCAATAATTTCTCTACCACTGACGTAAAGCTCACCAGCCTTTAATTTCCTGGCGATTAAGGAAAAATTAGATTGGGGCGAAAGAAATGGCTGAGATCTTAGACGATACAACCAGTCCCAGAAATAGTGGGAAAACAACAGTATAATGAGAACGAGAAACCTACAAATATTTGAGAAATTAATCAGTTTGAAAGGTGATAAGTCTCCTGGCCCTGAAACCTCACTCATGAAGGCATTGAAAGAGGAGGCTGCAGTGGATTGTGATTATCGGGAGTTCCCCAGATTCCGGATTGGTCCAAGTGGATTGTAAAGTAGCACAATGTTAACATCGTTATTCCGGAAATGAGCCAAAATTGGGAACAATAGGCCAGTTAACCTCACATTAGTCTTTGAGAAAACGCTGAATCAATTGTTAAGGAAGTGGCATCAGTCCACTTGGAAAATAATAAGATAATTAAGCAGAGTCAGAATTCTGCTATGTGTGTGATATGTCACTTTTTTTTTGAGGATGTAATTAACAGTGTAGACAAAGGAGGAATCAGTGGATGCATTCTAGTCGGATTTTCAAGAAGCTTTTGATAAGGTGCCACAAAGGAAGCAGTCATGTACCATAAAATTGGGATTAGGGTAATATATTAGCATGGATGGAGAGTTGGTTATGGGACCAAAAGCAGAGCGTAGGGGCAAATGGGACATTTTTCAAATTGACAGGCTGCAAACAACCACGCAAATCAGGGCTGGGACCTCAGGCAGTTCCAATATATATTGGTGAATTAGATAAAGGGACCAGATGGAGGTGATGGCCTAGTACTATTATCGCTGGACTGTTAATCCAGACACCCAGATAATATTTTGGGTCCTGGGTTCAAGTCCCACCACAGCAGATGGTGGAATTTGAATTCAATAAAATATCTGGAATTAAGAATCTAATGATGACCATGAATCCATTGTTGATTGCTGGGAAAAACCCACCTTGTTCATTAATGTCTTTGGTTAGCGCTGCTGCCTCACAGCACTAGAGACCCGGATTCGATTCCACCCTTGAGTGACTGTCTGTCTGTGTGGAGTTTGCACATTCTCCCCGTGTCTGCGTGGGTTTCCTCCAGGTGCTCTGGTTTCCTCCCATAGTCCAAAGATGTGCAGGCAACGTGGATTGGCCATGCTAAATTGCCCATCGTGTTCGGGGATATGTAGATTAGGGGGATGAGTCTGGGTGGGATGCTGTGAGGGTTGGTGTGAACTTGTTGGGCCAAAGGGCCTGTTTCCACACTGTAGGGATTCTATGATGTAATATATCTGGGTTTGCCAACAATATAAAGCAATATGGGAAAGTAAACTGTTAGAGGGCATGAGGGACTGAAATTTCAGTTGCTGGAGAGAATAGAAATAGGAGCAACTGCGATTTTAAATTTGTATCCACAGAGGGTGGCTTACTCAAAGAATCCATACAGTACAGCCATTTGGCCCATCAAGTCCACACCAACCCTCAGAGTACCGCACCCAGATCCTCCCTGTAACCCTGCATTTCCCATGGCTAATCCACCTAACCCATACGTCTTTGGACTGTGGGAGGAAACGAGCTCCCAGAGGAAACCCACACAGACACGGGAAAAACGTGCAAACTCTACACAGACAGTCAGCCGGGGCTGAAACCAAACCTAGTTCCTTGGTGCTGCGAGGCACCAGTGCCGACTCCTACCACTTCTGCGAGAGGATGCAGTTCTGTGGAGAAAAATCCATGTTTTGGATCGAGTTCTCAAGTTCTGAGGAAGGCTCACTCGTCCTAAAACGGTAACTCTGATTTCTCTCCACAGTTGCTGCCAGATCTGCTGAGCTTTTGTGGCAATTTGTTTTTTTGTTTCTGATCCACAGTATCTACATTTCTTTCAGTTTTTATTGCAATTTTCAGTATGGTTGCGGGGAGGGAATGTTGTTTGCAGCCACCTTGAATGGTGGGGATAAGCACATGTTGTGCAGACAGTGAAATACATGTCAAATGCCTACACTTCACTGGATTGCTTCGGTTCGATGCTGAGTTAATTTTCCATCAGAAAGCTGTGAAGGCATGTTATCCCTGACCTGTTTTTGTGTCCCCTCCTACTTGTAGAATGAGGATAAACATTTTTATTGCGCTTCATACGTAACAGGATATGAATTTTGGCATCTTTGCTTCAGATTGCTGGAACACGGATCCACACTCCCGCCCCTCGTTCACCTGCATTCTGGACCAACTCACAGCCATCGAGGAGTCAGGCTTTTTTGAAATGCCGCAGGATTCATTTCATTCCTTGCAAGAAGAATGGAAGCAGGAGATCCAGGAAATGTTTGAACAACTCCGGGAAAAGGAGAAAGTAGGATATTTAAACTCTTCCGCCTTAACGTTTTCCACTCCCTCACCTCCTTCCCGAACCCATTTGCTTTCTTTGAGTTGGACATTCTCTTTGTCATCCACGTGAGAAACGAGTTAGGAATGTATCGTGAACCAGTTCACACGAAGTTGAACCAGATGGCACGTCCCTTTGTGCAATTCAGCACCGCTGGGTGAAGCAGTAGCAATACAGTGCATCTCTCTGTTGTGCTCCGTAGGTTTTCCAGTTTGAGAACAGATCATCACTTTCCAACTGAGTCGCTATGAGACTTGTCTGAAGATCAAGCGGCTCAGGGGTAGTGTTCCAATCTTCGGGCTGGAGGCTGCAAGCCCAAAACTTGGTGGTCACAGATGCTCTACCCTTAATGTGACCAAACAGGTTATCCTCTAAATTCCTTCTGATACACCTATGGCAGGTAGTAAATTCAGGAGAACATCCCGGTCAGCATGCTTACTGTGTAACCGCTCCCCTCAAGATACAACCCTGGCAACTCCCTAGTGACCTGCTTCATGTAAAACCTACCTGTGGAAACAGATGTAAGCGTATGCTATGTCTGCCTCTTATGCCACAGGGCGTGGGAAAAGGGAAGAAGAATCATAGAATCCCTACAGTGTGGAAACAGGCTATTCAACCCATCAAGTAACTTGATTCAGTTTTTTGAAGAAGTAACAAAGAGGTTTGATGAGGGCAGAATGGTGGATGTGATCGAGATAGAATTCAGTAAGGCGTTCGACAAGGTTCCTTATGGTAGACTGGTTAGCAAGACTAGATCATATGGAATAGAGGGAGAGCTACCTGTTTGGATATAGGACTGGCTCGAAGGTAGAAGATAGAGGGTGGTGGTGGTGGTGGTGGAGGGTTGCTTTTCAGACTGGAGCCCTGTGACCAGCGGTGTGCCACAAGGATCGGTGCTGGGTCCACTGTTTTTTTTTTTTGTCATTTATATAAATGATTTGGATGTGAACACAGGAGGTATGGTTAGTAAATTTGCAGATGACACTAAAATTGGAGGTGTAGTGGACAGCAAAGAAGGTTACCTCAGGGTACAAAGGATCTTACTCCAATTGGGCCAATGGGCTGAGAAGTGGCAGATGGAGTTTAATTTAGATAAATGTGAGGTGTTGCATTTTGAAAAAGCAAATCAGGGCAGAACTTATACACTTAATGGTGAGGACCTGGAGGGTGTTGCTGAACAAAGAGATCTTGGAGTGCAGATTCTTGGAGTGTAGTTCCTTGGAAGTGGAGTCCCAGGTAGGTAGGATAATGAAGAAGGCATTTCATATGCTTGCCTTTATTGGTCAGTGCATTTACTAGTGGAGTTGGGAAGTCATGTTGAGGCTGTATAGCACATTGGTTAGGCCACTATTGGAATATTGCGTGCAATTCTGGCCTTCCTGCTCTCGGAAGGATATTGTGAAGCTTGAAAGGGTTCAGAGGAGATTTGCAATGATGTTATGAGGGTTGAAGGGTTTGAGGTATAAGGGGAGGCTAAATAGACTGGGTCTATTTCCCCTGGAGCAGTGGTGGCTGAGGAGTGACCTTATAAAATCATGAGGGACACGAATAGGGTAAATATACAAGGTCTTTTTTCCTGGAGTCGGGGAGTCCAAAAATAGAGGGCGTAGGTTTAAGGTGAGAGGGGAAACATATTTAAAAGGGACCTAAGGGCAAAGGTTTTCACACAGATGGTGGTGCGTGTGTGGAATGAGCTGCCAGAGGAAGTGGTTGAGGCTGGTACAGTTACAACATTTAAAAGGCATCTAGATAGGTATGTGAATAGGGGCCAAAAACTGTTTACTGTTTTGGTGTAGCCTAACTAGTTTTAGCAAGACTTTCCAATTTTTATACTCCATTCCCTTTGAAATAATGGCCAGCATTTCATTAGCCTTCCCAAATGTCTGCTGAAATTGTATGCTAGCCTTTTGTGATTTATGCACGAGAAGTCTCAACCCCTTGGGTTCTGCAGCTTTCTGCAATCTTTCTCCCTTTAAATAATATTCAGCTCATCTATTCTTCCTGCCAAAGTCCATAGCCTCACATTTCCCCACATTATAATCCATTTGCAAGTCTTTCTACCTACTGTAGTGTCGTCATTTTTCTGAAAAAAATGTCATTTGTGGGATGTGGGTATCAGTGACTTGGTCTGCATTCGCTGCCCATCTCTTGAATGCTCAAGAGCGCAACGAAGATTCACATTTAGGCCAAAACAGGTAAGAACTTTAGATTTCCTTTCCTAATGGACATTAATGGACCAGATTGCTGATTAAGAAAACAACAATCAACACTTGAAGCTCTGAGCAGAGAACAGTAACTGTCCCTGGTGGTGGGCTTTATCTGGGACAGTTGCACCAGTATTCTTTTCTTTAGCTTTAACTCTCGCCAGTAACATCGTGTTTTAACCAGGAATTGCGGACCTGGGAGGAAGAGCTGTCCCGCGCTGCCCTGCAGCAGAAGAACCACGAGGAGGTGTTGCGGCGCCGGGAGCAGGAGCTGGCCGAGCGAGAGATTGACATTCTGGAACGAGAGCTCAATATCATCTTCCACCAGCTCCACCAGGAGAAACCAAAGGTGAAGAAACGCAAAGGCAACTTCAAGAAGAGCAGGCTCAAGCTCAAGGATGGCAACCGGATCAGTCTGCCCTCTGGTAAGTGACGCTGGTTCTCTTTTTCTTTTCTCCTTCCGCAACTTATCCCCAAACATTCTCACCAAATGGCAGTGATGGATGTTTCACTTGGTCAATAAAAGGGAATGCTAGTAAAAGTGGTCAAGACTTTGAAAGGCAGGTAACCACACTTGAGTCTCTCTTTTTCTCATGCCCATCTCTCTCCCTGCTCTCCTCACCATTTCTGTCCACTGCCCCTTCTCCTCCAACCTCCCAACCCTCCACTCCCGCAACCACAACTCTCTCCAACTCTTCTTGAATTCTTTTGGCCTTCAAATATCCTACAGATTTCCAGCATAAGATCACCGTGCAGGCCTCTCCCACTCTGGACAAGAGGAAGAGTCTGATCAGCAGCAAGTCAAGTCCTCCAGCAAGCCCTACCATCATCCCACGACTCAGGGCAATTCAGCGTGAGTACTGCAGTAACACCGTGGCTTTAGTGTGTGGAACGTCAAGCATCATTTCTGACAAGGCAGATGTTGTACATTTTTTTGATAGGAAATATACTGAAGGCAGCAATGAACCAGTTCATCAGAATTCGTCAGTACAGTTTGTGCTTTATGTCTCACTACTCATGATTCCTGTTCCTCTATACAATACTTATATCACCTAATACACTGATACAATTTGACAAATAAACTCTTAACATTAATGATAGGAGCAAATTACTGCAGATGCTAGAATCTATACTGCAAGCAACAAATGCTGGCGATCACTGCGGGTCAGACAGCATCCACGGAGAGAGAGCAAGCTAACGTTTCGAGTCTAGGTGACTCTTTGCTCTCTCTCCATGGATGCTGTCTCCAGCATTTGTTGTTTTCAGTAACATGATTTGCCTCACTGCTGTTTTCAAAGACATATTCCACATCTATGTTGTTATCAAAACTCTACAAAATGTATTAGAATTTTCATCTAAAATGTGTAGTAGCTAGTAGCGAGATTCACAATTGTAACATTTCTCTAGTTTCAAATGACTCTCTGTGAGCTTTGCTTTTATGTTCGACCACCCCTAGCCTTCTCTCTGTTTTAGCATACTCCTAAGTAGCTGCTGTCTATTAATGATAGTGAATGAGTCATGGGCGCCCAGTTAAAGGAGCTTCCGGGGTTGCTTATGAGGCTTTTTAGCCCTCAGCATGTAGATGGAGGAGTTATAAAAGGTCTTGATTTGCCAGTGCTCATTTAAGACACAAGATGGCACACCTCACAAAACAGAAGATATTCTATCAGCATAGTAACACAAGACTGCAGCTACATTTTTTGTCTGAGCAATAGCACTTTCTCAGATTGTCAATCGGACCCGCATCTAACATGCTTCATCTCCGGTGCTGACCTACTGATGATGCTGAGTTTAATAAACCAAACTCCAATTTTGCATTATCTCAGAGGCTAACCTGTGTGTGTCTCTCTCCCTTTCTCCCTTTCTCTCTCTGTCTCTCTCCCTCTCTCTCTCTCTCTCTCTCTCTCTCCCACTCCCTCTCTCACTGTCTTGCTCACTATCTCTCCCTCTCATGTTTTTTGCCATCGCCTATCTCTGCAGGTTGTAAAAAGCTAAATTCCATTTTTAATTTTAAAAAAAAAGCATTCTGTCCAAAGAATTTGAACACCGTCCTTCCATCTGAGTTCAATTCCACCTTAGACAGATGAAGAAGAGATCCCCAATGAAAAACAATCTAACCACTGTCACTGAACATTCCATCACAATCCCCAAATCCTCTACTGCCAACGTTTTGGGCATTACCATTGGCCAGAGGCTGAACTGGACTAGCCCTATAAATACAGTGACTACAAGAGCAGATCAGAGGCAGGAGTAACTCACTTCCTGACTCCCCAGAGCGTGTCCACAAGTCACAAACCAAGAGTGTGATGGAATACTCCCCACTTGCCCTGGATGGGTGCAGCTCCAACAACCCTCAAGAAGCTTGACACCATCCAGGACAAAGCAGCCTGTTTGATTGGCACCACATCCGCAAACAGCCACTCCCTCTATCACTGACACCCAGCAACAGCAGTGCGTACAATCTACAAGATGCAGTGCAGAAGTTCACCCAGGCTCTTTAGAAAGCACTTTCCCTTATGAACACTACCGTCTAGAAGGACAAGGGCAGCAAAAATACATGGGAACACCTCCACCTTCGTGTTCCCCTCCAAGCTACTGACCATCCAGACTTGCAGCATAAGAACAGGCATAGGTCATTCAGCCCATTCAGCTTTCTCCACTAATTAATACAATCATACTGACCAGACGCTTCAATGCCCTTTTACCCACGCAATCTCCATAACCCAATCAGCCGTTGGTAATCAAAAATGTGTCAACCTCCGCTTTAAACATACATAAAGATTGATTATCCATGGTCCGTTGGTGTAGAGAATTCCGAAGATTTACGTCCGTCTAAGTTTTTAAAGTAGACCTTGCTCAGCCCTAAATGGCAGCTTCATTATTTTTAAATTGAGTCCCTGGATCTAGACTCCCAGACCAGGGGAAATATCTTAGCTGCATCTTACCCTGTCCATCCCAGCAGGTATTTTGTGAGTTTCAACGAGATTATTCTTAGAGACTCTAGAGAATACGGGCCCAGTTTTCCCAATCTCTGTTCCCAAGACAGTCCCGCCATCCCGGGAAGAAGTCTGGGGAGCCTTCGTTGCATTCTGTCTGTGGCAATAATTCGTTCCTGTGGTAAGGGAATTGCATTTAGTACTCCAGGGTGGTCTAACCAGGCTCCTATACAATTGATCGCCAAATATATCACCGTTCTTTCAGTGTCACTGTGTCAGAATGCTGGAACTCTTTTCCTGACAGCATTGTGCCTACAGTAGCTACATCAAATAGACTGCAATGTTTCAAGAAGGTTGCTCACCATCACCTCCTCAAGGGTTTGGCAACAGTAGTATCTCAGCCAGCAGTGCCCACATCCTTTTGAATGAATTAAAAACAAAATGACCTCTCCTTTCCGCTCCACTGGCAGATGGTTTTCATTATCTAAATCAGTTTAGTTTTGATATAATTAATTAGAATTACTTAATTCATTTTGAATAGTTCTTTTTCATAAACAGTGGCTTTTGCTCTGAATTGGCATGCAACAAGTTCTAAGGTAAATTCAGATTTCACTCACTCTCTCCGTTCCATTGACAGACTGTGTTTACTTCATCCCGCACCCCTCCTCTATCCCACTCTGTATATGGAGTGCTACCTGTATCCCTCTGGGGGAGAAAGAAATCAAACAATGCCATTAATTTCTGTCATTCTCGATTGACTTTCTCAACAGATATCAATCTAGTTCCCTTTTAAACCTCAAATCACATAATTTGGGCATCTTTCCAATGCATCTTTTCACCACTTGATGCTGCTTTGATAACTTTTGCATCCAAACCATGACTTCATTTATTGAGGAGTATCATGGACCATTTCAGTTGTTAAAATAAGTGCTGAAAGTAATTTAGGATCCCATCTTAGTCTCAGAGTGATGTTAAACACCAGATTGACCATTCATAATACTTCAAGCTGAAAACTAGCATGTGAGTTTATTAAGAAGAAATGAAAAGAAATGAGCAAATGTATTCAATTTATATACTTGTTGAAATGCTGCACAGTATCCCGTCACCATGTCACCCTTTATTTACACGTGCATTGTACTTGACACTGATCCAGCCCCCTCAGCGCTAGCTCTCAGACCCTCTCTGCCACTCTTGTTTATATTTGTCAGCCAGGGCTCCCTGATTGAAGCAGGTTAACAGCCATTTCTGAAGAAGGGTCCCGACCCGAAACGTCAGCTTTCCTGCTCCTCTGATGCTGCTTGGCCTGCTGTGTTCATCCAGCCCTACACCTTGTTATCTCTTTTAACGGCCCCAATTAGGGAACTGATATTCTGAGGTCCACCTCACTGACCGCATTATAGTCACGACACTTGTCTTACATAGGTTGCTAAACAATAGTCACCCGTCGGGTTTGTGCAGGTCTGTGTGGTGAATATATCATGCAGGAGATATGTATGGTTAGAAGTGACTGGAGTGCTGTACTAACCCCAACCTGAATAACCAAACTGTAGATAAAGCAACTGGAACGTAGCCTTAGTTATGTCTCTACGACAAAGGAATGATTTCAGAAAAATAACGTTCTCTTTATCTTAACAAATTTGTCAAGCAAAAGTAGTTTTCAAGAGTCCAGTGAAGCCCTATGGGTAACTTATCACATATCCAACAGGGGCTCCCATTCAGCCTCTGTTCAAAGTGGAGAATTGCTTCGGTATTCAATTCAGGTTATGATCAGGGTCCTTAATTTTTGCACTTTTCAAGAGTTAATTGACTTTCTACATTGAGCACAATTAATTCCTGAACCCAAACAACACCATGTGAAAACTGCACTGGCTTTCTGTTATCCTACTCTCATTCCTAAAGTTGGCCAGCTAGATTTTGAAACAGCAAGCTCACTTTGAATTGCATAGATATACAGCTATCAGATAACAACTGCTCTCCCACCCTCACAGTTGATATTTCAATCTAAGACTTGGAGAAACCAAACAGATCCAAAACCCCTCCAATTAATCCAAAATACACAGCCAACAGCTGCCCCTGGAATTTGCTGGGAATCTATTTCGGAAACAGCCCATGGCCCAGTTTAAATTCGTTTTATTAATTGATAATATGGAAAATCTTATCATTTGAAACTGGGCTGATTTGAGTTTTTATTTCATGAATTCTTACAATTGCTGTCAGCATTGCAATGCATATAATTTTGTGCTAATTAGCAAAGAGCCCTACTTTAGGTCACTTTGACATCAGGACTGATATCAGAAAGTTTTTATGTTCAGCATTCGATCTGACAGATGGAATGGATTTTGGGTTCTGAGGAAAGATACAAAATTTGAGGGTCATTCAAAAGCCAGTTGGATATTATAGCTCAAATGGCAAAGAGAAATGAGAAGCTGAGGGAATTTTTTTCATTGTCTACACTTCAATTAGCTGAATGGTTTTATTCCTCTTTATTTGTGGTTTAAATGTGGGACCATCTCAATGTTGCAAACATGGCCAGAATCGGCAAGGGTAATGTCGCTCTGGTGCATTGGCTTAGAGTGGAATTGGTTTTGACACGTGTGACAAAGGCACGTTGTTGAAGGAGAGTTAATGACCGTACTGATAAAGCACCAAAATATCTAAATAAATTAAGTTTCAATTAATCTTCCAACACTAAGAGAAAGTATATTATCTTTAAAGACAAAACAGAAGTGACTTCAAATGGTCTTTAATTGGAAGAAATAGAAGGTTAAAAAGTCAATATTTAATTCAGTTATTATGATCTAAATTCCACGTGATATAAAGAGCGTTTTGCAGCTTATGTTGTGCACTTCCATTATTTTTGCTGTGAAAACCAGCAGTCAACCTTGCAACTTGCGTTCTTCTGGATGTTGCCTGCCTAGTCCTGTAGAATTAATGTTTGAAAACGCTGACAGAAATGTGCAACTAGTATCCTGAGTCAGAGATAGAAAAGAAGCACTTTGGGGATTACCACTCCTGACTGGTATCCCAACAGCCTCTGCTGAAAATGCATGCGTGGTAACATTGGGGTGGGATCAGGATAAGCTGTGAAGTTCCATTCTTTCCCTGTGGTCAAATAGTCAACAGATCAGCAGTCTCTGGGTTTGCATCCATTGAATAACAATGTGATGGGTGGGTACCAGAAGACCTCCAAATTGTGCATTTTTTGGGAAAATTTGGGAAGGAGATCATGATTGTCAGGTAATAGGGCTCTGATGCTTGGTAGACGGCATCTGAGCTGTATGTGATCCTTTAGCGAGCCGTGCTAAATGTATTCCATTGCTGGACAATTCGTACGTTTTTGTATAAAAGTCTTACATGTTGAATAACATTAAATTATTTCACCAGTGACTGATATGAAACTACTGGGATAAACGGCCATCTTTTTAACCTCTTCATAGTAACACCAGGTGAAAGCAATAAGACCTGGGGCCGCAGTTCAGTGTTTCAGCGAGAGGAATGTGATGAGGACGAAAAGAAAGGGCAGAAAAAGAAGGGCTGGACGTGGGGCCCCAGTTCTTTACATCAAAAGGATCTCGCTGGTGGGGAAGATAGGTAAGACTAAAGCATTGTACAATATCAACTCTATCTGTTCACATTGTTTGTTGTCATTCTACAATGTTGCAGTGATGGGCTTGCTCCAATTTCTAACAAACATTTTTCCAATTACCTTCTGAGGGAAATTTGTAGGTTTTTGACTGCAAAGAATTATTTTTAGGATAACTTGGTGACCTCCAGCAGTGCATTGCAATAGAGGGACAGTGGGTCAGAGATAAACTTCAATATTGACCCTGAATCTTACACATAGTAGCTTCTTACAAGTGTGACAGCCCCTCAGTTTACAACAGCAACATAGTACAATGTTCCAAAACTCTTTAAAGCAGTGTTATCAAATAAAATTTGAAACCAAACCATAGAAGGAGGTATTAGAGCACATACACAACAGCTTCATCAAAGAGGTAGATTTTGAGGAGCATCTTGAGAGAGGCAGAGTAATGGGAAGGAATTGCAGAGATTACGGTCTTGGCAGCTGAAGGTACGATTAGTAATTTTGAGAAAATCAATTTTGTTTGCAGTACTCCAGATGCAATTTCACCAACTCCTGTGTAACTGAAACATAACCGTCTGTCTTACGTATTCAATTCCCGTTGAAATAAATGATGACATTCAATTAACTTTCATAATTAATTGCTCTACCTACATTCTTGCCTTTTGCAATTCGTGCACTAGGATAGCGAGATCCTTCTGCATCTCTGAGCTCTGTGATCTCTTACCATTTAGATAATATGCTTCCTTTTTCCTGCCGAAGTTAAGATTTATAACTGTTTTCCCACATTATACCCTATTTGCCAGATCTTTGCCCATGCACCTAACCTATCCATATCCGTTCGTAGCCATCTTATTCCCTTTTTACAACTTACTTTCCTACCTATCATTGTGGTGTCAGCAAACTTTCTGATCAAACCTTCTGGTCCCTTCATCTGAGTCATTTACATAAATTATAAAAAGTTGAGGCCCCAACACTGATTCCTGTGGTATACCACTCATTACAAATTACAAATAGAAAATGACCCCTTGTGCCTATTTTGTTCCCTATTAGTTATCCAGTCTTCTTTCTATGGCGATATGTTACCCACTGCACTGAGAGTATTTATTTTCTGCAATAACCCTTGATATGACATCTTATTGACTATCTTCAGCAAATCTAAGTACAGTATATCCACTGGCTCCCTTTTATTCATGTTACTTCTTCACATAAATTAATATGTTCGTTAATCATGATCTCCCTTCCTTTCACAAGCCATATTGACTGCCTGATTATTTTGAAATTTTGTAAATGCTGTGCTATAATGTCTTTAATAATAGTTACTAACATCTTCAGATGTTAAAGGTAAGTGGAATGTCGTTTCCTATTTCTATCTCCTATCCTTTTTGAATAATGGAGCTACATCTGCTATTGTCAAAACAAATGGAATGTTCTTGGAACCGAGGGAGTTTTGGAAAATTAAAACCAATGCATCAGCTATCTCACTAGCCTCACTTTTTTCAGACTCTAAGATGAAGTCTATCAGTACCCGAGGATTTGTCAGTCCAGAGATCAGTGCCACTTCCCTGGTATTATAATTTTCTTCAGTTCTTCCCTTTGTTCCATTTCTTGATTTTGTCACAAATGCAAAATAACTGGTCCCTTCATCTGTCACTTCATATTTTCCATGATTAATTCTGCGGACTCATTTTCTATAAGACCAGTGTTATCTGTGTTAATGGTCTCCTTTTCTATATATCTGTAGAAATGTTTACTATTGTCACCCCTTGATATTCAATGGCATCACCATTCCCCCATTATCAACATCCTGGGTGTTATCATTGGCCAGAAATTAAAGTAGAAAAGCAATATAATTGCAGTGGCCCCAAGAGCTAGGAATCCTGCAGTGAGAAACTCACTTGACTTCCCAAAGCCTGTCCACCATTTACAAGGCACAAGTCAAGTATCCTTATCAGACTGATGAATGGACTCTCTAGCCTCAAGCAATGCGGATCCTGCTAACATTGATCTCGTCTAGCACACGCCCTGTGCACCATAACCAGTATGCCTCTGTCTAAGTCTTTTTGATCCATATATTCTTGCTTACTTTCATCTGCCTGTACTGCTCCTAAAAAATAGGGTGTTCACTGTACTTTGATTTATTGTCACGTATACCAATGCGATGGAATACTCCCTACTTACCTGGATGAGTGTACCTCCAACACCAGTCAAAATGTTTGACACCATCCAGGACAAAGCAATCTGCTTGAATAGGCACTGCTTCCACAAAAAAAAATCAGTCCTTCCATCACCTACACAAAGTTGCAACAGTTGTGTACATTCTACTAGATGCACTGCAGAAATTCCCCAAGAGTCCTTAAGACAGCAGTTTTCTAACCTACACCACTACAATGTAGAAGGACAAGGGCAGCAGATATGCAAGTTTCCCTCCAAGCCACTCATCATCCTAACTTTGAAATATGTCATTGTTCCTTAGGTGTCACGGGGTCAGAATCCTGGAATTGTCTCCTTAATGCATTGTGGGCTTATCTTGCAGCAAATGGGCTGGAGCAGTTCAAGAAGGCAGCTCACCACCACCTTCTCAAGGGCAACAAGGGATTGGAAACAAATACTGACCTAGCCAGGGAATGCCACATCCCCTGAATAAATACATATTTTTCAAAAAAGCCATTTTTGGATTTCTAAGTGCTAAATTTTCTCACACTTTTTTCATTTTCCCTCTTGATTAATCTGGTTTTTACAGTTGATATATAGATTAAAATCCCCCATGATTCTGAGTATTGCTGTACCTTTCTGACAAGTTCCCATTATGCTGTCCTTTATACTCCATCCTACCATGTTGTTACTGTGAGAGGGCTTGTACACTCCAGCAATTTACTTCAATAATTTCTCCTCTCTGCACAATTCACTTCTAATCCTGGTTTCCTGAATGTAGGTCATCTCTCTTAATGATGGTATCAGCACAATAAATTAACAGAGCCTCCTGGTCTACCTATTCCGAGCTTCCTGGCTTTTCTAAATCTCACGTGCTGTTCAATATTCAGGTTCCAGTGTATGCCATCCTGCAGTCTGGCCATCAGGTCGTACTTACTTATTTATGTGAGTTTGTTTGCGCCATCAAGTCATCTGTTTCGTTTTGAAAGCTATGTGCGTTGGGCTAGAGAGCTTCAGTTTTGTTTACTTTATTATTTTTATAACCACTAGTCTTATCAGTTGATTTGCTTGTAGATTTATACTTTCTATCTCTGCCTATCATGGTCTTTTTATAATTTCACATATTAATACTTTTCTCTGTTGCTTTATTTCTACTCTTTAATTCACCACATCTTCCCAAATTTCAACCCTTGCCCACACTATTTCATTCAATACCCTCTCTATTTCTCTCTGTTTTATTTCCACAGGCAGTAACCTTTGGGTAGCTGTCCAGCTGTAGATTGTATACTTCCTAAGTTGTTTGAGTGCTGCTATCGGTGTTTTAAACATAATCCATGAGATAAATAGGGTGAAACTGGTACACTATTAGAACAACAACAATAATAATAAGTTATCACAAGCCTTCATCACTCTGTTGTTATTGGCATCAAAAAAAAATGGGGTGTGGTTGTGGCGAAAGTTAGATTTCATCTCTGGTAGATATACAGAAAATTGCATTCACTTTGGATCATCCAGAGCAAGGGCCACGCATAACGGATTTTCACTAACAAATTAAATGACCAAATTCATGAGCATTTATCGAGGAAAGCAATAAAATATTTGCAGATGCTAACAGTCTGCAAATGGAGACAATGCTGGAAAAGACCAGCAGATCCAACAGTATATGGGGAGAGAAACAAAGTTAACATTTCAGGTCAATGCATTTTCTGTTTCTACTTATCATTCATTCATTCGAATATCAAATCACTGCTATGACATGCGTTGGTTGAGCCAAATAATGGAAAGGAAGCTCAGGACAAAGAACGATAGGATATTCTGACACTGTAAGGTGAACTAGGGTAGTAGAATGCTTATATAGAACATAAATATTGACATAGAACAGGCAGAGTGAATGGCCTTGTACTGCATTCTAAAGTTTTTTTGTAATGCAGATTTCAAACCCAGAAGGGGTGCAAAACTGGGTTAATACAGGAATGGGAGTTATATCTTGGAATCCCGACATTATTACTCAATCACAGAATGAGGGCATCACTGGCTAGGCCAGCATTTATTGCCCATCCCTAATTGCCCAGAGGACAGTTAAGAATCTACCATATTGCTGTGGGTCTGGAGTCACTTGTAGGCCAGACCAGGTAAGGATGGCAGCTTCTGTCCCTAAAGGACATTGGTGGACCAGATGGATTTTTCCCGACAATTGACAGTCCAGCGATAATACCACTAAGCTGTTGCCTCTCCAGAATGTGTTTTTGCAAAGTCATTGAAAACCTTAGTTATTCATGGATCCATATTACAAAATAGAATTAAGAATAAAATTTGAGTACCATCTAAAATCCCAGGTGTCTCAATTTACTTTTTAAAAAATTAATTTACTAATTTACTTGCAAAATATTTAAAATCAAATAGAAGATTTACCCAACAAGTCGTGATGCAGCTTGTGTGATTCAGTCCCTATCATAAGTCAGTGTGGCCTGCAATTGAGTGGGTGGGAAGGAGAAGAAATAAAATGCATAAATTGTGCACAGTGTTACTTATCCTAAAGGTTTACACTCAAGACTTGATTTAATTCTCAAACCTCAAAATAAATCTTTCTCATTTTTATCTTTGAGCAAATGATATTTTAATCAATTCTGCACAGGCAGACTTAAGTGTTCAGAGATTTCTTGTTTTGCTTGAAGGTACAATATTTTGTTTGCTGCGTTTCCAAAAAACCTTGTCAGCGATCACGTTCAGCATTTTTTTCAGAAGAAATTGAATTTTCCCCAGATGGGAAAGATGCATTAGAATCAGGAATTGTCCTATGATTGTTCGGAATATTTAATTGAATTTAGAAACTGTTGAATATGGTAGGTACTTTGTGTTTGTAAAATTGGAGGTTGGCGTTTAGCAGAAAGGTCAATGACGTACTAATTTCTGTGAATATTCATCAAATTAAGGACAGAGTTTGCTTTGGGGACTTCATTCTCTTCTGTGTTGCTTCTGGACACAGAACCAGATGATGTAAATTGATTTGGAAGTTAACCTGAAATAAACTTTAATAGAAGATTCCATTCTAAGTGTGGCCACAAAGAGTTGCAAGATGTACTTATAAGATGTAGAATGGACATTGGTCTAGTTCAGACAGAATTAACTTTCCCATGCTGTAGATAAATTCAATGCTAACTGTTTAAAAAAAAAACATAATTTAGAAGGAACTGTGCTACTTGAGAAAATGAGATTTTTAAAATTTATATGGGCAAGGTCAGCATTTATTGCCACATCCCTCATTCCACTTTGAGGGCAGTTAAGAGTCAACCACGTTGCTCTGCATCTGAAGTCACACGTAGACCAGACGAGGGAAGGATAATAAATTCCCTTCCCTAAAGCAAATTAGTGTACCCAGTGGGTTTTTGTGGTAATCAGTTATAGTTTGGTGGCCACCATTACTGAGATTAGCATTCATTTCGGAATTTTTTTTGTCTGATCAATTGGATTTAAAGTCCAACAGCTGCCAAAATTAAATTTGAACCCTTGACCCCATAGCATTATCTGTCTTACCCCAACAATGTTCATTAAAGTGAAAAGATGTTGCTATCCCAAATGTGGTCTTCATTGCACCTTTGGCAAAGTTTTTCATCTTGTACTGATCAGGACAAAATACAAGATGCCATGGAGAATACACCCATTAATGCTGATTAGCAGTTAACTGCCAAGCTTTGTTAACGATCAAGAAAATAGTTCAATCAAACAACGTCTACTTGTTAACCAATCAGCGCTGACTTCCCATGAATATAAATATTGTTTATGTTGTTTATTTGTATATATTGGTGGTACTGAAATTGACCTGATTGATGCAAGCTGAACAGCTTTAACAAAATGTTTCTTTTTTCAGCAATTCTCAAAATGAAAAGTCATTTTTTTTTTTCTGCAGCGCAGCTTCAGTCATTTTATGGCTGTAACTCCATTTCAAAGCTTGAAAATTACCATGACCCCACAGTAGCAACTTAGTCTGGAGAAATTTGGAGTGGGGTGGTGAGAATGGTGTGTTACTGGGGAATCCAGGATGAGGTTACAAGGTGGGATGCAAAGCCTTTCATCTTAAGGGTTTTTTGAAAACCTATATTTGCACTGGCTTTTTCGGAGCAGGAATTGGGTGCAGACATGATGGGTCGAATGGCCTATTTCTGCACTGTAACAATTCTGTGATACTGGCTCTCAACTTTCGGTCATTTAGACCACTGTCACCATTACAAAATGATGAGGATTTGAAGGGCCCTCCTGGCTGTCACAACAAGGTCAGAGATCCACAGCAGCCGTTGCTGCCTTGGGATTTGCAACTCCAAGAAAGTGAGGTCTTGATTCTCAGTCTGAGAAACCTTCTCCTAGAGTATTCTTGTAGAGTTCCTGTGGAGATAGCTAGTAGGCTTTATCTATTTGATAACGTAGTCAGTTTAAAAACTCATCTGTTCATCATGGCTCATCTATTCAATCAAGACTCTTCAATGTATCTACTTTTTGTCTGCATTGCAGCTTGACATATTTGTGGATTCATGATGAGATCTAACTGCGCAGCATTTATGTGCAGAATCAACTCAGTAAATGATCCCAGTATATTTTTCCTTAAATCCTTCTGCATAAAGTGTCATCATAGGATGGATTCAAAAGAACACTACAGAACAATATTAGGCTAAGATGACTTCAGCTGACTTGAGATAATTTGAATTTATTATGAATAATGTTTATTAATTGTTTTATTAAGCCATGCAGACTCTGACATTGTTATCACCTGGACTTCTGCTTGTGGGTCCAAAAATGTAACTGTCTGATAAATGTATTTTTTATTTGGTGAGATCTCATATTGGTGAGATTTTGCAATAAAATTTGCATGAAAATTGACAGTGCATCTAAGCCACAGTGTGGCATGTTACATTTTAATTAAAATAGAAAGCTGAAAGTCTGTAATTAACGTTTGGATGAACAAGTGCATGCTTGTTGAATCTTTTGATTGTTGTTCCATCTGGCTTTATTTAAGATGTGATTACAAAGCTCAAACAGTCAGGAGCTTCGCAGTTGAGTGAAAAATATCATCGCTGCATCAGATTGCATTTTGTTAATTTCCAATTATTTGCAACATTGACAACCAATTGACACGATTGTTACTCAGTGGAGGATTAGTGAATTGTAAGAAAAACACTCCATACCTCCTTTTACCTCTTAACAATATAAACAGCAGCCGTTGAGACCATTCACTGATATTGGAAGCACTTTTTTTATTATGTTCAGTTTCAGTGTGGGTAATCAAATTGTGTTGGGGACTTGCGAACTAACTAATCCTCTTGGTCTGCATCCTTAATGATAACAGTATCTCTTTGGATTGGTAATTTGTATGAAGAAAACATGCAGTTTATTGAACATAAAAATAGAAACAGGAGTGGACCATTGGGTCCCTTGAGCTTGCTCTGTCATTCAATGCAATAGGATTGGTAACCAGTTGTGTTAACAAAGCATCTTTCTTGGATATCACATCCCAGGGATGGAGCTGAACGTGGAATTTTTGGGCCAGGTAGGGACACTGACACTGTGTCACAAGATCTCCCAATCATAGAAGTTCATGGCTAATCATTCGATTTAATTCCAACTTTATGAATGCTCCTAGTATCCTTGATTCTCTGAGATGCCAAAAAATCTGTCTGTCTCAGCCTTGGGTATCATGGATAAGCTGTATTGTGTGCATCTATCTACTAATGGTCAGGAAAAACTGGGCGGGGGGGTAGCATAGAAAAATGGAAAAATGTCATCTGCGATGCCCATCCTTACTCCATGCCCACCTCTCACTGCCTCCAGAAATTTTGATTTCAGGTATGAAATTCCAGATGGAACCTCAGAGATTTACTACCATGGCTAACTCATCAGTTTTGACAGAAGACTAGAAGCATCTTAGTTAATGTGTGGCTCCAGGAGGTGAGGACATGGGATGTGTGTCATTGAAAAGAGGTCTACTTGCACTCATAACAACAGACAAACTTTATATTAAATGTTTGAAGCATGTCCTACAAACTGTACATATGCTGACAATTATTGCATTATTTCTCTTTCATTATTTCCGTTCTCCAAGCCTTAAACATCTGGTAGATGGAAACAAGCAGTGGTCCTCCAGTGCTCCCAATCTGGGAAAAAGCCATCGACCAACTCCTACTGTCCCAGGGTTTGCCAGCCTTGTTGAAATAGGTATGGAAAATGTGCACTGTTCTAAAAATCAAACTTTGTTGCATTGATTATTTATTTTTGTTTCGTTTCCATTTTTCACCTATTCTTTGCTAAAGGTGCTAAGTTTTACTGGGTTAGCTGTACCACAGTGATCAGCGGATCCACCAGTACATGGTTCAAATGGGCTGTCATCTCATGGATTGCATCAATGAGTATCAACAGGTTAATTAACCTGTTTTGGCCAGATCTTGTAGTTGAAGGTGAATTAATGGCTCCCAACATTCATCGCTTTTCCAGTTGCCCACTGAACTACATTGCAATGTGTTGGAATTAACAAGTTGTGAAACTCTGCCACCCTCTATGTGACAAGATAGGAGTGTATGTTCCACCAACCAGATGAAAGAATCATCATAGACATGCAGAATCTAAGTATATAAATTGCAAATTATGGGAGGACTCGTGTGGTGTACTGGTAGTGTCCCTACGTCTGTGCTAGGTCGCATGCGTTCAGTGTAGTAGAGGTGTGTGCATATTTCTGAACAGATTGATTAGAGAGTATCTGCCCCAGAGCTGCTAATATCACGGTTCCCTTAGTAGTTTGTGAACAATAAGCTTTTGATGAAAATATGCATGTTTTAAATTCCTTAGTGTGTGGACAATTTGAGATCTAGCAGCAGGCATTTTGAGAGATTAACTAAAAAGGATTGTTTGTTCATGGTCTTACACCTAAATATAACAACACAAAACTCATTCACAGTCATAGCCATACAACATGAAAACAGACCCTTCAGTCCAACCAGTCCATGTCAAACATAATCCCAAACTAAACTATTCCCAGCTGCCTGCTCCTGGCCCATATCCCTGCAAGCCTGTCTCCATATCGGGCAACCACCTAGAAACCGATATTCATTTCAAGCCCACCGACTCCCACAGCTACCTAGAATACTCCTCCTCCTCCCACCCACCTTCCTGCAAAAATGCTATCCCGTATTCCCAATTCCTTCGCCTCCGCCGCATCTGCTCCCAGGATGAGGCATTCCACTCCCGTACATCTCAGTTGTCCTCGTTTTTCAAGGACCGTAACTTCCCCTCCTCGGTGGTCGAGAACGCCCTCAACCGTGTCTCCCGCACCTCATCCCTCACACCCCGTCCACGCAATAAAAACCAAAAAAGAATCCCCCTCGTCCTCACGTACCATCCCACCAACCTCCGGATCCAACGCATCATCCTCCGACACTTCCGCCATCTGCAATCCGACCCCACCACCAAAGACATCTTTCCCTCCCCACCTTTATCTGCTTTCCGGAGGGACAACTCTCTCCGTGACTCCCTTGTCCGCTCCACACTCCCCTCCAGCTCCACCACACCCGGCACTTTTCCCTGCAACCGCAGGAAGTGCTACACCTGCCCCCATACCTCCTCCCTCACCCCCATCCCAGGCCCCAAGAAGACTTTCCACATCAAGCAGATGTTCACCTGCACATCTGCCAATGTGGTATACTGCATCCGCTGTACCCGGTGTGGCTTCCTCTACATCGGGGAAACCAAGCGGAGGCTCGGGGACCGCTTTGCAGAACACCTACGCTCGGTTCGCAATAAACAACTGCACCTCCCAGTCGCGAACCATTTCAACTCCCCCTCCCATTCCTCAGACGACATGTCCATCCTGGGCCTCCTGCAGTGCCACAACGATGCCACCCGAAGGTTGCAGGAACAGCAACTCATATTCCGCTTGGGAACCCTGCAGCCCAATGGTATCAATGTGGATTTCACAAGCTTCAAAATCTCCCCTCCCCCTACCGCATCCCAAAACCAGTCCAGCTCGTCCCTGCCTCCCTAACCTGTTCTTCCTCCCACCTATCCCCTCCTCCCACCTCAAGCCGCACCTCCATCTCCTACCGACCAACCTCATCCCGCCCCCTTGACCTGTCCGTCCTCCCTGGACTGACCTATCCCCTTCCTAACTCCCTACCTACACTCACCTTTCCTGGCTCCATCCCCGCCTCTTCGACCTGTTTGTTTCCTCTCCACCTATCCTCTCCTCTATCCCTCTTCTATCCGCCTCCCACTCTCTCCCTATTTATTTCAAAACCCCCTTCCCCTCCCCCTTTTCTGATGAAGGGTCTGGGCCCGAAACGTCAGCCTCTCTGCTCCTATGATGCTGCTTGGCCTGCTGTGTTCATCCAGCCCTGCACCTTGTTGTCCCTGCAAGCCTTTCCTTTTTATGTACTTATCTAAGTGTCTTTTAAATGTTGTAACTGTGCCCACATCCACCATATCATGAGCAAGTTCATTGCACACGCAAACCACTCTGTGTAAAAAATTTTCCCCTCACGTTCCTTTTAAATCTCTCTCCTGTCACCTTAAACGCATGCCCCCTAGTCTTGAAATCCCCCATCCTACAGAAAAGATACTTACCAATTACCCTATCCATACCCGTCATGATTTTATAAACCTCTACAAGGTCACCTCTCAACTTCCAATTTTCCAGACTATCCAGCCTTTCTTAACTCAAACCTTCCTGCCCCGCAACATCCTGGTAAATGTCTTCTGAACCCTCCATGGTTTATTAACATCCTTCCTATATGCATTTTAACCATTTTTTTTTTGAGTGTTTAAGAGAACAGGGGACACTTTTACAGAGTAGTGCAAAAATGCTATTGATTCATGTGATTGTCCTGTTATGGAAAACACATGTTGCAGGCCTAATAAAGAAGATACTTTCACTCCTGAAGGGTAGTTTAGTTTTTTTCAGGATTCTCTTTAAGAGCCGGACTTTCTGCAGGCCACAAAGTCAGTTTGTAAGCAGACGGTCCATTTGTTGTCTTGGTGGACCTGGAAAAGAAAGGGCTTGGTGACCGTACGCTGTTACAGCCTGTAACTCTTTTTGAGGCCTATGTATTCCTTTCCTTCCTACTTGGAAGTTAGGAATAAAATATGTCTTCACTGTGCTTAACAGTTTAGAGAAACCATTTCCTCTGGTGGATCATGTAGATAAAGGAGACTATTGATCATAAAGTTAGAGTTAGAATGCTTGGGACTGAAATCATGAAATGATTTCCCTCGCAAAGAGAGTGGAAATCTGAAATTCTCTCCTTCTCCATAAAAGTTGCTGATGCAATGGAAAAATGGAACTGGGAGTCAAATCAGCCATTATCAAATTGAATGAAGGAAAAGGCTTGAGGGACTGAATGGCCTGACTCTTAAGAGTTTTGGGAATTGAACTATTCCTGAGTTTAAAAAAATCCAAAGTTGACAATATTGGTGGGGTGTGAAATATGAGTGGGTGTCATTCATAAAGAAACCAGATTCAAGATTCTTTTCCTTTACCTCCAGAGCATGAAGATGGTGATACCATTATTGATTTCGATGCAACACTACAACAACCTGCTTTACACAACCAAGCCTACCTCGCTTTACCATTTGACCGAAATGATGGGGAGGGTGCTGTTAGTGACAACAATGAAGATCCTACTCCAGTGAACTCGGCTACTAGCACCCCGCAGCATACTCCCACCAACAGTACAAAACGGAGCTCGCAAAGGAAGAAATGTGACTTTGTCTTCCTTGGTTGTGGGGCTGTCCTAGCAGCAGTGGCTTTGGGATTAGATTTGCTTGAACTGGGGAAATGTCATATTTTGCAAGAAGATGTTGAGCCAAAGGAAGAGAAGAAAAAGAAGGAAGGCATTTTTCAACGCACCAGCCGATTGCGGAGGAGCACCAGCCCTCCATCTCGAAATCTCTTCAAGAATGAAGAATCGGTGATTACCTCCTTTGATCCATCTTCCTCATTGACATTGCTCTCATTATCTTCCATTTCTGAATGCAACTCCACGAGATCTTTGTTACGCTCAGATAGTGATGAAATGGTAGTGTACGAAATGCCTACAACCCCAAGTTCGATGAATGAGAGCTCCAAATTTATTACCAATCATCCTTTGGTTGATGTAACCATTGAACGCTTCAAACGTGACCCTAAGCAATCATTGACTCCAACTCATGTGACAACAACCTCCACCGCAGTGCACTGGGGTCACAGGCGAACTCCTTCTGATGGAGCTATTAAACAAATTCCTCAGACTCCGAACTGTATGCCATCCAATGGTGCCATGGGCTCTGTTGTTACAGGTAGGTGCTTGGTGTTTTATATTGCTCTCTTGGTGTTCCCAGAAATAGGCAGTTCAACCAATGCGGTTCCTTGAAAGGATTTGTAGTATCTTGCTCCTAACCTTGTAAAATGCAACTTTCTGTGTTTATTGGTTCTCATAAGTGCAAAATGTCCAATTACTTTGAATTCAACCCCGTTTTCTCCTTCGCCTTCCTACTCCCACTCACACACCACTTGCCCCAAACTACTCCTCAAGGCAGGCCCAACCTGTCGGTATGGGTTGTGGTTGGGTGCGGGGTGTAGTGGTCAGAGGAAACCAAACATTCTGCCTTTGTAACCATTCCAGTCTCCATGCAAAGAGACGACAAATCAGTTCTTGCACCTTCCTAATGAAAGCAACGAATTCCATGATCATACTTGCTGCATGGCTCTATTGCCGTTGTGAGTTGTGGAGTGTCACCAGAACACACAGATCTGTGAATACTTCATTCTTTGTGTATCTACATGTGTATTTGCAAACAATGGGAAGAACAGAGTTCTAATGTGTTCTCAAAATATTGCCACGTAGAATTTCAGTAAAGATATTTTTAAAGATCAATAAATGCACCTTCTAAATAATTTGGTGTAGTCCAGCACTTTGCATGATGCCGTTATCTTGTGTATTTGGACATTTATTACACATTACACAATTGTAACTTTGGAAAGGGATGAAATAGATGCCTGTTGGATGACTAGTTCTATATTGCCAAAAACTAGGAGCATCCAAGGAACTGGGCCACTGTTGTCTGTTCACTCACTGTGTCCAAAAACATCAAAATTAACTTATTCACTAAGGAGGCTGAGATGGAATAGACTCAACTAAAATCGGAAGCAGTTTAGGGAAGGGCAGGAAATCTGAGGAAATCACTTTTTTTCTTCGTAGAATCCCTACAGTACGGAAACAGGCCCTTTGGCCCAACCAGTCCACACCGACCCTCAGAGCATCCCACCCAGATCCATCCCCTGATAATCCACCTAACATACACGTCCCTGAACACTTTGGGCAATTTAGCACAGCCAATCTACCTAGCCTGTACATCTTTGGACTGTGGGAGGAAACCGGAGCACCCGGAGGAAACCCACGCAGACACGTGGAGAATGTGCAAACTCCACACAGACAGTCACCCAAGGGTGGAATCGAATCTGGGTCCCTGGTGCTATGAGGCAGCAGTGCTAACTACTGAGCCACCGTGCCACCCTTTGGTGGCCTGTTCTTCCTATGAGATTAAAAAAATGAAAATGACAGAAAAAAGAAATGTGTTATCAAACTGAAATACAAGTGAAAACCAGACTGAATACAGGAGGATCAGAGGGGAAGTGAAAGAGGAAGTGAGAAGTGATGTATTAGCAATCACATCCAAGGCTTCATCCATTTAATCCCCATGGGAGTAATGCAGTTAATGACCTATTTTTTTTTTGTTCCATTCCCTGCCATAGCCTTATAATTAGTGGCTATTATAACGGAATGGGGAAAGATACAAATTGGTAGGGATTAACATTTCTATTTTTTTTTAAAGGTATAGGTAAAATTCCAAGTCCCAGCAGGGATCCAACGGAAGTTCCTCGCCTGCCTGACCCCAATCTGGTTTTTCCACCGACTCCAAGACGAAGGAACACAAAACAAGATTTCACATTAGAAAGACCCAAAACGTTGGAATTTGTACCGAGGCCACGCCCATCTGCAAACCGTCAGCGGTTAGACACATGGTGGTTTGTCTCACCCAGCAAAACATGCAGTAACTCCCCTGTCAATAGTTCAAGCACTGAAACACCATCCAACCTGGACTCCTGCCTCAGCAGCAGTGGCACTGTGGAGGAAAGGCCCCTCTTTCTGCCTTACAGGCAAGGACTCGGTAGCTATGAGCGGACATTGTTAGACACAGATGTGGAAGGTCAGAGTCAGGATGGAACACTCCCACTGTGTGGAGCAGAGATGAATCCACGCAAGACAACAGCCTATGAGCTACAGCACAATTTCTGGTCATAGCAGCACGTGGTATACCGCACGAGTCCACAGAAGGAACTTGCACTGGGAATGCACTTTTATAGAAAGACTGGCTTGAACTGAATGCCACTTAATGTCACCCTAGAATTTTGCCGAACTTCAAACTTGGATCCGGGATCCACGTAGCCGACAATAAAAATAAGCAGTTGGATGCTGTTCAGTTGGGTTCATCCATCTTATTCCCAAAACTCATCTTGTACTGTACGTGTCCAAGATCTGTGTTCCCATTCCCATTGACATTTTGGCTTAGAATCATGCTGTTATGAATCGAGGCTAAATTCAAGCTGCATTTGTTAGTAGAAAAAAAAATTTATGTCTGTATTCTCCTGTGTTGTAACCTACTTAAACAAGTTCCAAGGCAAGCACGTTATCAGATGCTAAAAGCATAAAGCATGACCGATAGAGATTTATGCACCTTCCAATAAGCTATAAATAGTCTCGGATGAAGACGTGTTAAACCATGCCTGTTTTTCAAAAATCTTAAGACCATGCATTTCTTTTCCTCTCTGCAAGTCTGTTGTTCCTCCCATCCCAAATGATGACAAAAGCAGTAAAGGTGAAGAGAGAGAGAGAAGAAATTTGTGGCACCCCCACACCTCCACATTACTTAAGCTGGATGATCATGATTTAAAGCTGAGAAACTCAGCAGTTTTGCAATGCGGATAGTATCTGTGAAGTGAGTACACAGCTCAAAACTTTTTGTCACATGGACAAGTCACATGCAGCTCTCAACAGGCTGGTGAAGGCAAGGTATTCATGTGTTTTTTTTTTCCCAGTGGGTCTTGTGTCATCCTCTTGAGCCAACTTTTCTGAATCTGTTTACTAAACTCTCTCACCATTCCTGACGAGCACTCATTCTAAAGAGGGTTTTATTTTCGCATGGTTAGTGAGATTGAATAGACTTTTCTGCCAATATGTCAAACTGCATTGCCTCAGCTGAAGTAATTCTTGACTTATTTACAAAGAAGTCTGTTTCTGGACATCAACTGTTAAGAAAAGTATCATCATCAAAGTTTTTGGGTCAGCAATGCAGCTCACAGCTCCCCGGTCTATTGGTTATAATTGTTTTTGCTGAATCAAAAGATTGGGAACAAATGTTCCAGTGTTCATCTCATGTCCTTGTCTAAGTGACCACTTGTATTTAATGCTCTTTTTAAGTATTTATTGCACTGAGACCTTGAAGGTCAAAGATTGACATTATTAATAACATGTAATGAAAAATTGTCAGAGGAATGTTTTATTGTTAACTGTGAGGAAATGATGTCCCATTTTATTAGCCTAAAGTCCATAGGCTGGACAGTATTTGCAAAAGTTCTCAGTCCAGAAGTCAAATCTTTTATCTATGCCTTTCGATATAAGCCAGTGTTACTTGCTAGCTTTTTGTGGTGGCTACTTCCAACAATTTTTCAACAAATGACACCAGAGACTTAATGAGACATGGTGACAGAGTGGTTGCTATATGTGGGACTGATGGTTCTGTCTCCACTGCAGGGTTTTTTTTGTCCCCATTTGCTCTGTGAATGCTGCAATAGCCTTGCCTCTCCATTAAATTCCCTGTACTTCTCCTGGGTAGCAAATAAGAGGAGTAGATTTGTCTGCTACAGAAGAGTAAACTTGCCAAAGGCCATAATGGTGGGAAGCTGGGAAGCAAATGGTCTGCTAGTGATATTACGAGTACCACTGATGCAAGCCAGTGTTTGATGGGAGGAAAATGTAGTACATCTTCACAGTGTGTGCTATGATTTAGCAACTCCACAAAAATCTGCTAACTCACCAATATATCGAGCATTCAGCTACAGGAAACAATTTCTCAAAAGGCATAATTGAAGTGCATCGTTTTTTTGTTTCTATTTTCATTTGTCCCATTTGTAAGCGTGGTAACTTTGTGCGTGTAATTTATGAGTCAGGAAAATGCATCAGCCTTATATTCCCCCCCCACGCCCCCACCCTGCTGCCCCTGGTAACAGACTTATAACTTCCAGGAAGGATGAAGTGTTTTTCACAGTGGAGCATTTGGGATTCACAAGTCTCCCAGTTTCATAATGCAATGGACCTAGAATAAGTTTCGGCTAAAACTGACCACCCTCTTCATCCTGCCTTGAGTCTGTGCATTTCCTGCTGGTCAACGGAAGGTGTAGTTACAGGATGCACATATTGGAGTGCATGGATGTGAGTGGCATTATACTGTCTCTTTTATAGCTTTGATAGGGGAAAAGAAGAGACAAGTGAGGAAAGAAATGGGATTGTGGTCTTTATGCGGTTGAAAGATACTGTTACCTTCACAAACAGACATTCCCATGTCTGTCCAGGAATCCCATTGATTTATCTGGAACAACAATGTTAAGAACTAAACTGGATGCAGCAAGTACCTACTTGAACTGGTCATTTAAATACATCTCTGATCTGAGAATAGTACAACTTCTTGTTTCCTTTCACTTGTTTCCTTTGAAGGGAAGGTCTGTCACTTTTGTCTTTGGTTTACTTCAACTTTGTGCGGTTCAGGCCAAAGAGTAGATTGTGGAGTTTGACCATTCCATTTTTTTAAAGCCAACCTCATTGTCAGCTGGCTCTGGCATACAAATATTTTCCCTTACAAAGGCAAATGTCAAATGTTTTTTGGATTTGCCTTTTCCTTTGTTATCTCTTTCTGATTTTTAGACATTATTGGAGTGATAATCAGTCTGACACACACACAAACACCCTTAAACATACACACACTCTCTCTCTCAACCTC